TGAGGATGGGGTGGGGTAGGGTAGGGATGGGGGTGAGGTGTAGGGTAGGGGAGGGTGAAGTAGGGTGGGGGTGGGGTGGGGATGAGGTGTGAGGTAGGTGGGGTGGGGTAGGGAGGTGTAGGATGGGGGTGAGGTGTGGGGTAGGGTAGGGTAGGGTGGGGTAGGGTGGGATGGAGTAGGGAAGGCTGGGGTAGGGTAGGGTAGGGTAGGGTGGGATGGATGGAGTAGTGTGGGGTAGGGTAGGATGGGTAGGGTAGGTTAGAGTGGGGTTGGTTAGGGTGTGGTTGGGTGGGTAGGGTAGAGTAGGATGGGGTGGGGTAGGGTAGGATAGGTTGGGGTGGAGTAGGGTCAGTTTAGGGTAGGGGTGAGGGGTAGGGTAGGGGTGAGGGGTTAGGGGTGGGCGTTATGTGACGACTGGGACTTTTTTAATGTACCTTCTGCGAAGCTCAACACAGCGGTTGAATATAGATATCACAATTTGGTGGGAAATGGTTCCCTCTTACTATGTCTACATGTATTTAACACAACGAATGAGTTGATAAAATGTATAAATATAACAATGAAAAAGGCGCAGGTGATACTGATATATAAAATTTGAATTGTATAGTTGTATAGTAAGAAATGATCAGACGATTTGTATAAAGATGAAATATGAATTGTAGAAAACTAGTTAATCATTATCAAAATGCAGTTCATTACACATGTAGGTATAAATTACACAGGTATGGATATACATTACACATGTAGATATACATTACACGTGTAGATATACATTACAAGTGTAGGTATACATTACAAGTGTAGATATACATTACACGTGTAGATATACATTACACGTGTAGGTATACATTACAAGTGTAGATATACATTACACGTGTAGATATACGTTACACGTGTAGGTATACATTACAAGTGTAGGTATACATTACAAGTGTAGGTATACATTACACGTGTAGATATACATTACACGTGTAGGTATACATTACACCTGTAGGTATACATTACACATATAGATATACATTACACAGGTATGGATATACATTACACAGGTATGGATATACATTACACAGGTATGGATATATATTACACATATAGATATACATTACACGTGTAGATATACACTACACGTGTAGATATACATAACACAGGTGTGGATATACATTACACGTGCAGTTATACATTACACATGTGTGGATATACATTACACGTGTAGATATTCATTACACAGGTGTGGATATACATTATACGTGTAGAAATACATTACTCGGGTGTGGATATACATTACACAGGTATGGATATACATTACACGTGTAGATATACATTACACGTGTAGGTATACATTACACGTGTAGATATACATTACAAGTGTAGGTATACATTACACATGTAGATATACATTACACGTGTAGATATACATTACAAGTGTAGGTATACATTACACATGTAGATATACATTACACGTGTAGGTATACATTACAAGTGTAGGTATACATTACAAGTGTAGGTATACATTACACAGGTATGGATATACATTACACAGGTATGGATATATATTACACATATAGATATACATTACACGTGTAGATATACACTACACGTGTAGATATACATTACACAGGTGAGGATATACATTACACATGTAGTTATACATTACACATGTGTGGATATACATTACACGTGTAGATATTCATTACACAGGTGTGGATATACATTATACGTGTAGAAATACATTACTCGGGTGTGGATATACATTACACGTGTAAATATACATTATATACATTGTGGATATACATTACACGTGTAGATATACATTACACAGGTGTGGATAGACATTACACGTGTAGATATACATTACACGTTTAGATGTACATTGCACATGTGTGGATATACATTACACGTGTAGATATTCATTACACAGGTGTGGATATACATTACACGTTTAGATATACATTACAAGTGTAGATATACATTACACGGGTAGATATACATTATACATGTAGGTATACATTACACACATGTAGATATACATTACACACGTAGATATACAAAAGCTTGACAGTTGAGGCGATTACAGTCATGAGTTATATATCGATACCAAATGTGTAAACCAGAAAAATTTCTTCACTTATCAAAGGAGAAGTGCCAGTTTGGGCCTTCTGGTGGCCATGACGAATACTTTCTATTTTTTGTCTATTAAAAACTTGAGGTCAGGCGGAAATGACATGACATTAAAATAAGGTCAGCTCAAGGCTGTTCAGTTGTTATAGGGGGGACGAGTGGGGGATCAAATTCATAGTTATTGCAATTATTATCAAAAAAATTTTTTTTTTAGTTTTTTTTTCTTAAATGTCATTTGATGATATATTTTAAAACCTTCATTAGAAAAAAATCATCAAAAAATATGCCATTGTTGTAAAGTAGGTCACGGTAATTAAGTGCCCTAATTACTAATTAAGTCTCACTTGAGCACCGTTTTTTGTCTTAATGCATCTATAAACAATACGTTTATCACGTGCAGTGTATTTATTTGAAATATTTTTGCATAAATTAGAGCAATGAAGAAGTTACAGTCAGGGTAAGAGAGGCATGCCATTTAAATATACTAGTTTCAATTTAAAGTGCAAGAGCACCAGTCACTATCTTATTCCGGTTAATGAAAATGAATATTGAATTATACTGTATGAGAAATTATTTCAAATAAATTTTACAGTATAATAATTCTTCCGTGCATTAGTTGTATTCTTGAGCTTTAACATAAGATGGTTTGACACTAGAGCTTTAACATAAAATAGTATGACATTATGACATCTCCCTGATGTATACCTTGTTAATGGTCTTGTTTCAAACACTAGCAAACTTCAGTAATCTACAGTGCAGTGTATGTAACACATGGTATATCCAGATATATAAGTATACTTTGTTCTGTGCAGTTCGTACATGCATTGACTTATGCACATATCTTGTGTATCATTAAACCGTTAAATGTAATTTCGTTCATACAAGTGTGACACACATGTATGTATGTTATTTTTGTAAAATGCCAGTACACAAGCAGTGTGCTTGCTGCAAAGCAGATTATAAAGTAAAAATATTTTGTCTGAATCAGGCAGATGTTCTGTCTTTCTTGAAAGATAATATCAATAAAGATTTATGTTTAGGTTACCCTGTATGTAAGAAATGCAGAAGGAGATTCTACAAACACCATGAACCAGTAGAGCATTCTAACAGTGGTTTAGACCATCAGAATGTGACACCCGACTCTAAAAAAGTCAAACTTGATATTCCCCGAGCTACGCTTACTGAATCGCGATGTTTCGTTTGTGGAAAGTCCAGAGATGAAAAAAGTAAAATGGTGAAACCATGCACGGAAATAAGAGTTAAGATTTTCATTAAGACAGGTGTCTTGATTCCAAATACATCTAGGTGATGTGGATGGTGATATTCATTCCGATATTCTTCAGTCACTTACTCCTACCAGTGAAGACTCGGAACTGGATTCATCTGAAATATCAGAAATCCTGCTTTCACCGAGATCACTGGCTTCTAGAAAAAGTTGTTTGGACTTGGGTTCACCTGAAAGATTAACTGATCAACATTTTCATCGACTCACATGACTTTATAAATCTCAGTTTTCCGAGCTTTTACAGTCAGTTAACACATCTCTGTACTCTTCACTAAACAGAAGTGTAAGGACTGCATTAGCTGTTCTTCTTGTAAAGTTGAAAACGGGCATGACATTAGCAATTTTAGCTACTTTGTTCAATATGACAAAGAGAACGTGTGGAAAATGTATACACTCTGCTCGAAAAAGCATTAATGAATCACTTTGTTCCTTCCCACATTGGCCTGCATCACATCACAAGAGAACAAGTTATCCAAAACCATACTACAATGTTTGCAAAGACAATGTTTGCCTCAGGTGAGGATGTCGCTTTGGTTGTTGCTGATGGCACTTATATTTATGTTGAAATATCCAGTAATTACACATTCCAACGTTGCTCTTTCCCAATGCACAAGGGACGTCCTCTCTTGAAGCTAATGCTTCTTGTAGCTTCTGATGGTTATATCTTGTCTGTTCCTGGTCCGTATTTAGCAGATGGTCGAAACAATGATGCCAACATCACAAAGCACATGCTCAAAACTAACACTGAGAACATCAATGATTGGTTTCTAGATGATGACGTCCTTGTTGTTGATAGAGGCTTTAGACGTGTGACAGATATTTTAAGGGATTCTGGTATCAAAACAGAAATGCCATTTTTTCTACCGAAGGGTCAGAAGCAATATACCATCAAAGAAGCAAATGAATCCCGTCTTGTTACAATGGTAAGGTGGGTTGTTGAGTCAGCCAATGGACGGATTAAGCAGTGGAAGACGTTGGGACATGTACTGCCAAACACACTAATTCCCGTTGTAAGAGATTTTGTACGCATTGTTTGTGCAATTTGCAATGCCTTTCGCCCTCCACTTGCTTCGAATTCTCCCAATGACATTGCAATTGCCGAGAGAATGATGGCATTGTCCAAAACACCTAACAAACTTCAAACTCTTATTGAGGCAGAAGGGTTAACAAGGAAGCGGTCTATTTGGGTAAGGCTTGACGAGGCCAGTTTGCCTGATTTCCACAAGTTATCAGAACCAGAATTGAGAGGTCCTACCATGGGGGTATATCAGCTGAAACAGGCAAAATCCTACATCAAAGAGCACTTAGCTGAAGATGGTCAGTATGAACTTATGCTATGCAGGGAGAAACCTGACTTGATCAAAGTTCAGATTCGTTCACGACATGTTGCTTCGAAGGTGTACAATTTTTGGATTGAATATTCTAATGGCTGACCCCGATATCAGGTTGGTATTGTCAATGTAAGGTTGGTGCCAGAGTAGTCGGCTGCTGTGCCCACATTGCATCTGTCCTATGGTATCTTTCTTATGACCGACACCAGTCTGATACTGCACAAACAACTGCCTCCTCAAGTTTCCTTAGTTGTGTTGATGACGCAATGACGGTGGAGAACTGGTCAGATTGTGACAGCGACAGTGACTCCTAAATGAATATCCCAACACCACCATTCCCCTTACTAAAGTAGTAAATACAATCCCGTAAGTAATAGACAAAGGTCATTTATGATCCAGTGAAACCCGGTGCTAAATTGATTTTTTCCATTTTAATATCATCAATATTTGCAAAACTATTTCAAATAAATACACTGCACGTGATACACGTATTGTTTATAGATGCATTAAGACAAAAAACGGTGCTCAAGTGAGACTTAATTAGTACTTAGGGCACTGAATTACCGTGACCTACTTTTCAACAATGGCATATTTTTTGTTATTTTTTTTTCTAATGAAGGTTTTGAAATATATCATCAAATGACATTTAAGAAAAAAAAAACTAAAAACAAAATATTTTAGTTTGATAATAATTGCAGTAATTATGAATTTGATCCCCCACTCGTCCCCCCTATAACAACTGAACAGCTTGAGCTGACCTTAGATTAATGTCATGTCATTACCGCCTGACCTCAAGTTTTTAATAGACAAAAAATAAAAAGTATTCGTCATGGCCACCAGAAGGCCCAAACTGGCACTTCTCCTTTGTTAATGTCTGCAACTGCAAGCATATACTTATACGTGCCTGTACAAATCTATTGACACAATACTGGATTTTGAAATCCGACCAATAGACATGAATTGAAATTGAAAGAGCATGGACACGTTAACTTAAGATCACTACTGATTATTAAAATGTGATCGTAATCTATAATTACAATTAACCTTATTTGAATTTCACTTGGAGTTAGGCTTGCATTATTTGATTTTCGAAACTGCAATAACTTGGGATTTTTACTTTCTGTAATCAGCTTATAAGCTTAGTAAGTGGCCTTCCTGTACCCTGGTCAGATACAGAAATGGACTTATCGACATCTATTAACGACTCTGTACCTCTGATAATTCCACCCGCATCATGTATGTATTAACTTGAGAATAATTTTGTAATGGAGGAAAGTGTGAAAGATTTTTAACGGTGATTTCACGCATTTAATGTCACAGATTTCCACGAAGTATTTAAGGGAAACTTCACGGACGATCTTAGAACTTACACTACCTTGAGGAGAAATATGTTCTTTTCTTTCCTATGAGTATTTAGTGAATGAAATTTGCCAAGTCTTAGTCACGATACGACCTGACGATTCCGGAGATATATGTAGAAATGTCTAGGTAAACAGTCCCTGACTGGTTGAAACACACTCTCCACTCTATAGGGTACCTAAATACGCAGTCTGTTGACATTGTCATGTCTCGTATGTTGTAGAATTTTTTTATTAACATCAAGGTGCACAATTCCTTTAATGTCGTAAACCACTTCGTTTATGGTGGTATACAGTAACCACTACTGTCAGGTACAAAAACTGTAGAAACTACGTAGCTGTAGACACCTCAGAACTGGAACAAAGGAACGAGATACTCTCCAAAATAGTTAGACTACCATCAAATGAATTTCAAATTTCACAGTGAGAACATAGTTCATCAGTACGAAACCATGCAAACATGATTTGACATGAATCAGCTGGCGACATTTAATGTTTTGTGTCATAAATGACGGGTTAACATTTCCATTGTTATATACGTTATGTATTACCTTGATTTATTGTCTATGAAGGGGGTGTCAAGGGAGATGGGGAAGGGGCAGGTGTCAAGGGAGGGGGAGAGTTGTCAAGGGAGGGGGTTGTCAATGGAGAGGGGGAGGTGTCAAGGGAGGGGGTTGTCAAGGGAGAGGGGGAGGTATCAAGGGAGGGGGTTGTCAAGGAAGGGATTGGGGAGTTGTCAAGGGAGAGGTGGAGAGGGGAAATTTGTCAAGGGAGGGAGTTTCAAGGGAGAAGTGAAGAGGGGGAGGTGTCAAGCGAAGGGATTGTCAAAGGAGAGGGGGAGAGAGGGGTTTCAAGGGAGGGAGTTGTCAAGGGAATGGGGGAGGGTGTCAATGGAGGGGGTTGTCAAGGCAGAGGGGAGAGGTGTCAATGGAGAGGGTTAGAGGGGAGAGGTGTCAATGGAGGGGGTTGTCAAGGGAGAGGGAGAGAGGGGGAGTTGTCAAGGGAGAGGGGGATGTCAAGGTAGAAGGGGAGAGGGGGAATGTGTCAAGGGAGAGAGGGAGAGAGGGTAGGTGTCAAGGAAGAGGGTTGTCAAGGGAGAGGGGGAGGTGACAATGGAGGGGTTGACAAGGGAGAGGGGGTAGTGGGGGAGGGGGAGGTGTCAAAGGAGAGGGGGAAGGAGTCAAGAGTGGAAGTTGTCAAGGGAGATGGATTGGCAAGGGAGAGGGAGAGAGGGGAAGGTATCAAGGGAGGGGGAGAGTTGTCAAGGGATAGGGTTGTCAAGGGAGAGAGGGAGAGGGGGAGGTGTCAAGGGAGGGGTTGTCAAGGGAGAGAGGGAAGGTGTCAAGGGAGAGGGTCAGAGGGGAGAGGTGTCAATGGAGGGGGTTGTCTAGGCAGAGGGGGAGAGGTGTCAATGGATAGGGTCAGAGGGGAGAGGTGTCAATGGAGGGGGTTGTCAAGGCAGAGGGGGAGAGGTGTCAATGGAGAGGGTCAGAGGGGAGAGGTGTCAATGGAGGGGGTTGTCAAGGCAGAGGGGATATATGTGTGTGTGCCGGGTTGACTCTATCTGCTAGATGTCATATACACCATCCATGTTTTTCCGACGTATGAACAAATAAATAAGAAACAAATACTTGCAGTATAAAAGTAATATATTTAAGATATTGAAGAAGTTAAATAATTGCCTCAGTAGTTGGTGGGTACTGTTGCTTCAAATGTTGCACAATCATGATCTACATGGTTGATTCCTCACTCTGGAAGAGAAAACAAGAAGATTTTAATAGCTGATATATCCCCCAGATATCTAGTACTGACAATTTCAAAGGACATTGCAATGGAGACTAGTACTGTTAGTAAGGTATGTTACTTACAGCATTGTCCTGGCTTTAGAAATATGAAGTCAATCGCTATGTCGCCTTTATTGCCTGCTCCACGTCGTCCTTCGATCAAAATCTGGAAAATGAAGTTCTTGTTAGCAGTTCTCTGTCACCATATATGTTGTCTTGTCAATATTAAATCTACCTAAATATATCTTTTAAGTGTAACCTATATGTTTAAAATCGTGATACATCAGTAACTTTCTATCGTTATTAAAGTGACTCGTGTAAATTTCAGTCTATCTCTCTCTCTCTTCTCTCTCTGTCCTCTCTCTCTCCGTCTCTCTGTGCCCCCCTTCTCTCTCTCTCTTTCCGAGTTACATCTAATTCAAGTTTTATAACAGCTTGGAAATAAATTGTCTATTGATGTATATCTTCATGCTTTCTAACATTAATGATTTAATCTAAAAGATCTTGGAATATCCTTACCACTACATCATTCGCAGCAGGAATATTGGCAGAGGCCAGGACCCAGCTGTTCCCCTGTTCGCCACTTATGGTCAAACGTGACCGTTTATTGCCATTCCGGTCACCACTGTATACTCGCAGACGATCGACATCAGATCCGTGCATGAAGTAAGCGAAAAGCAGACACCGATTGCCTTCTGGAACATCATTTGTGATAAATTTATGTAAGGAAATACTTGATCATGACTGATCAGATCACTACAGAGAACACCTGGTCATTTGTGATAAAGTTATGTCAGAGATCGAAGTGTTCACTCACGATTAAAATTATTTCAGAGAAACGTGGTAATCTGATAAATTTCTGTTAGATGTCAAGTGATCTCTTCTGATAAAATTACCACAAAAAACACGTAGTTACTTCTGATAAAGTTACGAGATCACTTTGATGGACGATACGTACGCGACATGCTAATGTGCTCCGTGGTCAATGTGGCTGTGTCTCCCCTAGCTCTAGGCGATGAAGTTTCTATGAAGGCGTAGCGGTCACCAGTGTAAGGGTTAGTTGGTCCAGTATTCGGTGTAGGCGTGGGCTCCTGTAATTATATACCAAATATACTAAACGGTGAAATTTCAATCCAAATTTTTCAATGCGATCTTCTGTGGTCATTGAGTAATAAACCTGATCATGAAATTATGACCGTGGGATTTTATTAAAAATAGAAACAGCAGCATTAAAAAAACTCATGACTTGAAATAACATATTTTTTCTGAATTCTTCTTGAGACCTTGAAGCAAATTGTTTGAGTTATGGTTTTAGAGACCTGCTGTTCTATATTTCAGTACTTAATTCATATTTGCTGACTGTATCCCTGTCGGTTCTGTTGTTTACTTTGGTCACATTTGAGAACATGACGTTACAAATTGATCGTGGTTTATGTGACGGATGTCATCGATGAAGCAAGAGACGCTTACACTTCTGGAACACCTGGTCTTTACTGGAACACCTGGTCTTTTCTGGAACACCTGGTCATATTCTCCTTGTACTTTTTCATGTTCACGTGTCTCCGTGTAAATATTTCTTTTGTTCATATTTTGCACTAGTTTTACTGCGTTTGATCAAGATTCTGTCGGAATGTCAATAGTTTCTTTGTTGTTTTGAGGTTGAAGCTATTACAGCTAACATCATTACATTGAATGTAGGCAGCTGATTTTCACAAACTCACCGCAAATATTTTATATCATAAAGTCACCCATTACATTATCTTTAATTGGAAGAACAAATGATTCAGCTAATAAATTTTAGACAGAACACAATATAAAGACAGTTTTACTCTTTGATAAGTTTAAAAGGACATTTATCCTAAGATATATTCATAGCATTTTATGTATTGTCAACATAATCATAATCCAAACTCAAAGTCAATAAAACGAGGACTAAATATGTACAAAAGAAATAATTACAAGGAAACTCCTAAAGAGTACAAAGAAATAAATTGTTGTTGAAGAGTCACCATTTTCTGCTTCATCGACGACCCCACCATGTAAATCTTGGTGTATAACAACAGAACTAACAGACTAACGAGGATCAAACATATTTTTATTTTGCACGTGACTTTGGATACGTACGGACGTTAAGCTCCAGTCGAAGTCGTCATTTTTATCTTGTTTGAAAAAACAATCTGATCCAACTTCTAGTGAACAGGACATAAGCGATACAGCTGGAAACAGAAAATAATAAATATATCAGTAATTAATTAACAGCAAACTATTCTACATATGTTTTATAAATGTGAATATAGAACAGGATTTGAAAAAAAAAACCTGTGTTTCAATAACAAGGATAAATATTAATATATAGCGGTTTGGGAAGTTGACACCCAGCAACAGGAAGAGTCATGTAGACATTAAACCCTCATTATCATCATCATCATCATAATCTTCATCATCACAATCGTATGTGACGTGGGAAGCGGTCAGATGTGTTAAGTGGGAAGCGGTCAGATGTGTGACGTGGGAAGCGGTCAGATGTGTGAAGTGGGAAGCGGTCAGATGTGTGACGTGGGAAGCGGTCAGATGTGTGAAGTGGGAAGCGGTCAGGTGTGTGAAGTGGGAAGCGGTCAGGTGTGTGATGTGGGAAGCGGTCAGGTGTGTGAAGTGGGAAGCGGTCAGATGTGTGAAGTGGGAAGCGGTAAGGTGTGTGAAGTGGGAAGCGGTCAGGTGTGTGATGTGGGAAGCGGTCAGATGTGTGGAGTGGGAAGCGGTCAGATGTGTGGAGTGGGAAGCGGTCAGGTGTGTGAAGTGGGAAGCGGTCAGATGTGTGAAGTGGGAAGCGGTCAGGTGTGTGAAGTAGGAAGCGGTCAGGTGTGTTAAGTGGGAAGCGGTCAGGTGTTTGAAGTGGGAAGCGGTCAGGTGTGTGAAGTAAGAAGCGGTCAGGTGTGTGAAGTGGGAAGCGGTCAGGTGTGTGAAGTGGGAAGCGGTCAGGTGTGTGACGTGGGAAGCGGTCAGATGTGTGAAGTGGGAAGCGGTCAGGTGTGTGAAGTGGGAAGCGGTCAGATGTGTGAAGTGGGAAGCGTTCAGATGTATGGAGTGGGAAGCGGTCAGGTGTGTGAAGAAGGAAGCGGTCAGGTGTGTGAAGTGGGAAGCGGTCAGATGTGTGGAGTGGGAAGCGGTCAGGTGTGTGAAGTGGGAAGCGGTCAGATGTGTGAAGTGGGAAGCGGTCAGGTGTGTGAAGTAGGAAGCGGTCAGGTGTGTGACGTGGGAAGCGGTCAGATGTGTGAAGTGGGAAGCGGTCAGGTGTGTGAAGTGGGAAGCGGTCAGATGTGTGAAGTGGGAAGCGTTCAGATGTATGGAGTGGGAAGCGGTCAGGTGTGTGAAGAAGGAAGCGGTCAGGTGTGTGAAGTGGGAAGCGGTCAGATGTGTGGAGTGGGAAGCGGTCAGATGTGTGAAGTGGGAAGCGGTCAGGTGTGTGAAGTAGGAAGCGGTCAGGTGTGTGAAGTGGGAAGCGGTCAGGTGTGTGAAGTGGGAAGCGGTCAGGTGTGTGAAGTGGGAAGCAGTCAGGTATGTGAAGTAAGAAGCGGGCATGTGTGTGAATTGGGAAGCGGTCAGGTGTGTGAAGTGGGAAGCAGTCAGGTATGTGAAGTAAGAAGCGGGCATGTGTGTGAATTGGGAAGCGGTCAGGTGTGTGAAGTGGGAAGCAGTCAGGTATGTGAAGTAAGAAGCGGGCATGTGTATGAATTGGGAAGCAGTCAAGTGTGTGAAGTGGGAAGCGGTCAGATGTGTGAAGTGGGAGGCGATCATGTGTATGAAGTGGGGAAGCAGTCAAGTGTGTGAAGTGGGAAGCGGTCAGGTGAGTGAAGTGGGAAACGGTCATGTATATGAAGTGGGGAAGCAGTCAAGTGTGTGAAGTGGGAAGCGGTCATGTGTATGAAGTGGGGAAGCAGTCAAGTGTGTGAAGTGGGAAGCGATCAGGTGAGTGAAGTGGGAAACGGTCATGTGTATGAAGTGGGGAAGCAGTCAAGTGTGTGAAGTTGGAAGTGGTCATGTGTATGAAGTGGGGAAGCAGTCAGGTGTGTCAAGTGGAAAGTGGTCAGATGTGTAATGTGGGAAGCGATCATGTGTATGAAGTGGGGAAGCAGTCAAGTGTGTGAAGTGGGAAGCGGTCAGGTGTATGAAGTGGGAAGCGGTCAGGTGTGTGAAGTGGGAAGCGGTCAGGTGTGTGACGTGGGAAGCGGTCAGATGTGTGAAGTGGGAAGCGGTCAGGTGTGTGAAGTGGGAAGCGGTCAAGTGTGTGATGTGGGAAGCGGTCAGATGTGTGAAGTGGGAAGCGTTCAGATGTGTGGAGTGGGAAGCGGTCAGGTGTGTGAAGTGGGAAGCGGTCAGGTGTGTGAAGAAGGAAGCGGTCAGGTGTGTGAAGTGGGAAGCGGTCAGGTGTGTGAAGTGGGAAGCGGTCAGATGTGTGGAGTAGGAAGCGGTCAGATGTGTGAAGTGGGAAGCGGTCAGGTGTGTGAAGTAGGAAGCGGTCAGGTTTGTGAAGTGGGAAGCAGTCAGGTGTGTGAAGTAGGAAGCGGTCAGGTGTGTGAATTGGGAAGCAGTCAGGTGTGTGAAGTGGGAAGTGGTCAGATGTGTGAAGTGGGAAGCGGTCAGGTGTGTGAAGTGGGAAGCGGTCAGGTGTGTGAAGTGGGAAGCAGTCAGGTATGTGAAGTAAGAAGCGGGCATGTGTGTGAATTGGGAAGCAGTCAAGTGTGTGAAGTGGGAAGCGGTCAGATGTGTGAAGTGGGAAGCGGTCGATCATTTGTGTATGAAGTGGTGTGTGAAGGGAAGCAGTCAAGTGTGTGAAGTGGGAAGCGGTCAGGTGAGTGTGTGAAGTGGGAAGCGGTGGTGTGTGAAACGGTCATGTATATGTGTGAAGTGGGAAGCGGTCAGATGTGTGAAGTGGGAGGCGATCATGTGTATGAAGTGGGGAAGCAGTCAAGTGTGTGAAGTGTGTGAAGAGGGTCAATATGCGTGTGTGAAGAGGGAAGCGGTCATGTGTATGAAGTGGGGAAGCAGTCAAGTGTGTGAAGTGGGAAGCGGTCAGGTGAGTGAAGTGGGAAACGGTCATGTGTATGAAGTGGGGAAGCAGTCAAGTGTGTGAAGTGGGAAGTGGTCATGTGTATGAAGTGGGGAAGCAGTCAGGTGTGTCAAGTGGAAAGTGGTCAGATGTGTAATGTGGGAAGCGATCATGTGTATGAAGTGGGGAAGCAGTCAAGTGTGTGAAGTGGGAAGCGGTCAGGTGAGTGAAGTGGGAAACGGGCAGGTGTGTGAAGTGGGGGAAGCGGTCACTTGAGTGAAGTGGGAAGCGGTCAGGTGTATGAAGTGGGAAGCGGTATATGACACGATATGATACTCACTGGTTTTCTCACAGTTATCTCCCTCATAGAAAAACGCACAACTGCAGGTGTAGCCATTGGCAGTATTATCAGCAACACAAGTCCCTCCATTTAGACATGGATCTCCATGGCAACCTTAACAGAGGTACAGGTATTGATTTTATAGAAATTTAATACACAGAAATTGTATATCAACAAGACAAGCAGTCAGTGCTTCTACAGAAAACATTGAAGATTACATTTTATCTAAGCTCTGTAAACCTTTTTCTACAGTTATTTATTTTGCAAATTTAAGCTTCTCAACTATTTCATGGTAAAGTTACAGTGTTCGATTATTGTGTTAAGAAAACATTGTGTTCGCTTTGAGTCATTTTCTTGGCTGTTATCATACTTAACTATCACGTAAATAGATTGCTTGTCAATGATTGTTGGTTTCTGTTGGTGTACCACGGAGATAATTTACATAGACACCACTGATGATAATACGACCAGGTATTCCAAAAACATAAACGCATTCTGCACCATCGACCTCTCCCACTATATCCAAACCCAAATTATCGTTTTTTTTGTCAATCCTAGTGATATCACGCTGCCCAAATAAAATAACGGAACAACATCTATCGGACATGTTTAACTTCATGTCGCAGAAATAAATAAAACAGTTCTCAACAGAAGCACACATAAAACTTGTCCCACAATCAACCTACATTTCTAAAAACCTTTTTGTTGTTATTTAACATCTGTGTGTTAATGACATTCATCATCCATGTGTATCAGTATGTAACTTTCGATCTAATTCTCCTTGTTGGTCTTGAGTATGCTGTTGTCGTGACATTTACCAATAAATGTGTCCAACTGTTGTAAAATATTGTGGCCTTTTTCTCCTTATAATGTCTCGACATTTATAATATATCTTTAAATGTGGTCATCTATCAGTTAATATGGTTCTCTTGTCACATGTTTAACTATTTCTATAGTACATTTTCCTTCTCCGCTTCATTGAGTTTGAGATTGAATCACAATTTTTATCGCAGATCGGTATTTTCTCGCAATTTTTATTAAGTTAGTTTGTTTACTTTTTGACAAATTGTTTTGTTTTTGCATGATAGATAAATATTCATTGTTAATACTTCTGATACCTAGTTTTCTTTGTTATACTATAATGATACACATTTTTGTTACCTACCACAATTTCCTACAGAAAACATCACATTGTCGACGGCGATATCACTGGTAGTGTCTGGGCCACGAACAGCTTCAAATATCGGCTGTAAACAGAGCAATGAGTTAGAGATAATCAGCTTCCAATATATGCTGTAAACAGAGCAATGAGTTAGAGATAATCAGCTTCCAATATCGACTGTAAACAGTGCAATGGGTTACAGATAAACAGCTTCCAATATCGGCTGTAAACAGTGCGATGGGTTACAGATAAACAGCTTCCAATATCGACTGTAAACAGAGCAATAAGTTACAAATAAACAGCTTCAAATATCGGCTGTAAACATAGCAATGAGTTAGAGATAAACAACTTCCAATATCGGCTGTAAACAGAGCAATAAGTTAGAGATAAACAGTTTCCAATATCGGCTGTAAACAGAGCAATGAGTTAGATATATACAACTTCCAATATATGCTGTAAACAGAGCAATGAGTTAGAGATAAACAACTTCCAATATCGGCTGTAAACAGAGCAATACGTTACAGGTAAACAGCTTCCAATATCGGCTGTAAACATAGCAATGAGTTAGAGATAAACAGCTTCCAATATCGGCTGTAAACATAGCAATGAGTTAGAGATAAACAGCTTCCAATATCGGCTGTAAACTGAGCAATGGGTTACAGATAAACAGCTTCCAATATCGGCTGTAAACAGAGCAATGGGTTACAGATAAACAGCTTCCAATATAGGCTGTAAACAGAGCAATAAGTTACAGATAAACAGCTTCCAATATCGGCTGTAAACAGAGCAATGGGTTACAGATAAACAGCTTCCAATATAGGCTGTAAACAGAGCAATAAGTTACAGATAAACAGCTTCCAACATCAGCTGTAAACAGAGCAATTGGTTACAGATAAACAGCTTCCAATATCGCCTGTAAACAGAGCAATGGGTTACAGATAAACAGCTTCCAATATCGGCTGTAAACAGAGCAATGGGTTACAGATAAACAGCTTCCAATATAGGCTGTAAACAGAGCAATAAGTTACAGATAAACAGCTTCCAACATCAGCTGTAAACAGAGCAATTGGTTACAGATAAACAGCTTCCAATATCGCCTGTAAACAGAGCAATAAGTTACAGATAAACAGCTTCCAACATCAGCTGTAAACAGAGCAATTGGTTACAGATAAACAGCTTCCAATATCGCCTGTAAACAGAGCAATGGGTTACAGATAAACAGCTTCCAATATCGCCTGTAAACAGAGCAATAAGTTACAGATAAACAGCTTCCAATATCGGCTGTAAACAGAGCAATGGGTTACAGATAAACAGCTTCCAATATAGGCTGTAAACAGAGCAATAAGTTACAGATAAACAGCTTCCAACATCAGCTGTAAACAGAGCAATTGGTTACAGATAAACAGCTTCCAATATCGGCTGTAAACAGTGCGATGGGTTACAGATAAACAGCTTCCAATATCGCCTGTAAACAGAGCAATAAGTTAGATATATACAACTTCCAACATAGGCTGTAAACAGAGCAATGAGTTAGATATACAGCATGTAGATAGTGACCATGTTTTATCTAAATTTTACTGTTGTCAATATCTGTGTGAATTGAGAACAAGTTTCTTTTCTAATTTGGAAAGCACTGAACATTTTTGCTTTTTTATTGCGGGGAGAGGCTCGAGCTTGGTTAGAAAATAGGCAAAAGTACTTATTTTAATATTATGTTGGCAATGTTATTGTAAATGTGATCGATAGTATATGTCACCGCATCATATACAAGCAACGTCTTTCTGCTACATACGTCATCACAGAGAGGTGTTTAACACTAATAGGACGTACCGATACAGATACAGCCGAGGGGAAAAATACAGCCCCAGTGTGCCAAATATCTCCCTGATCTCCAGAGCGGGACCATAATTCTGACGACCCATCCTTCACCTTAAGCGAGCCAATACCGCTCCCGTACATGTGGTAGTCGAATATCAGACATCGGTCGGCAGCTAAAACCATATTGTACATTAGAAATATCATCTTTAACAATTGGAAATTAGAGCAGGATTTGGTTTACCTTAACATATACTAACAACGATAAAACCATCACAGATGAAAAAGACATCATAACAATAAGAGAACCAGGTTAGCTTGACGCAGGACAAGATAGAATTAAAACTGAAAACAGCCATATTAATATCTCCTACAATATAACGATGACTGCTAAAGATTGGAAAACATTGTTTGTCCTTTACTCATCAATCAGTATCTTTCAGCCATATCTTACATTTCATTTTTGATATTACTGTGAAATCTTAAATTTTCGTGTGAATTTATTTTCATTGCGTTCGTGGGTACTTTTAAACCATGAATTCACATGTCCACCAAATGTTGCAAAAACCATCTGCAGATATATTGAGCAATCTGTATCCACGAAAACAACTGCCCAGGAAATAAGATATTTTTGAAAAAAAAAAAATGAAAGTTTAGCCCCACGAAAATATATGAGTTTACAGTATATAACTTACTAACGACTATCAACCTAGACATGCACTGTACCTGGAAACGAGGCATTAGAAACAAGCCTTGCGACATCGTTTTCCATTTGAGGCGATGATCCTTCAATGTACATGTAATTTCCCTGGGTCTGTGTAGCTGTAGAAGAAGGTCCTGTCCCGGGTGTAGGAGTCGGGCCCTAAACATCAATGGACAATAAGGATATACTTTTAAGAATAAGCAGGTATTATTCAATTTCCAATATATCAATCAAATATTACAACTGTTGTGTAAAAAAAACATACACCACATGTTCACTTTAACGCATTTTGATTGGCTGACATGGATGGACAATTTTGTCGGGGGCCGCTCACGCACTCAAGAAAATTGAAAAAGGACATTTCGCGATAGTTCCAGTACCAATATTGGACCATACCGTCGATATTACTTACTAGATTCCATATATAGAAGATCCAGTACCAATATTGGACCATACCATCGATATTACTAACTAAATTCTATATATAGAAGTTCCAGTACCAATATTGGACCATACCGTCGTTATTACTTACTAGATTCCATATATAGAAGATCCTGTACCAATATTGGACCATACCGTCGATATTACTTACTAGATTCTATTTACATATATACACCAATTATTTCCCACTGGGAATCACGGGCATGTCATATACACTGCAAATACATGTACTTCTACTAAATACCTCCCAGTCAAAGTCCCATGACACATTGTATAAATATGTCACTGATAACACCACAGTCAAAGTCACGTGATGTGTATACATTGTATAAACATGACACTGATAACTCTCCAGTCAAAGTCACGTGATGTATATACATTGTATAAAACATGTCACTGATAACTCCCCAGTCAAAGTCACGTGATGCGTATGCATTGTATTAACATGGCACTGCTAACTTCCCAGTCAAAGTCATGTGATATATATACATTGTATAAACATGACACTGATAACTCTCCAGTCAAAGTCACGTGATGTGTATACATTGTATAAACATGACACCTATAACTACCCAGTCAAAGTCACGTGATGTGTATACATTGTATTAACATGACACTGATTACTCTCCAGTCAAAGTCACGTGATGTGTATACATTGTATGAACATGTCACTGATAACTCCCCAGTCAAAGTCACGTGATGTGTATACATTGTATAAACATGACACTGATAACTCCCCAGTCAAAGTCACGTGATGTGTATACATTGTATAAACATGACACCTATAACTCTCCAGTCAAAGTCACGTGATGTATATACATTGTATAAACATGACACTGATAACTCTCCAGTCAAAGTCACGTGATGTGTATACATTGTATAAACATGACACTGATAACTCCCCAGTCAAAGTCACGTGATGTGTATACATTGTATAAACATGACACTGATAACTCTCCAAAGTCACGTGATGAGTATACATTGTATAAACATTTCACTGATAACTCCCCAGTCAAAGTCACGTGATGTATATACATTGTATAAAACATGTCACTGATAACTCGCCAAAGTCACATGATACATTGTATAAACATGACACCTATAACTCCCCAGTCAAAGTCACATGATGTATATACATTGTATTAACATGACACCTATAACTCTCCAGTCAAAGTCACGTGATGTGTATACATTGTATAAACATGACACTGATAACTCTCCAGTCAAAGTCACGTGATGTGTATACATTGTATAAACATGTCACTGATAACTCTCCAGTCAAAGTCACGTGATGTGTATACATTGTATAAACATGACACTGATAACTCCCCAGTCAAAGTCACGTGATGTGTATACATTGTATAAACATGACACTGATAACTCCCCAGTCAAAGTCACGTGATGTGTTTACATTGTATAAACATGACACTGATAACTCTCCAGTCAAAGTCACGTGATGTGTATACATTGTATAAAACATGTCACTGATAACTCCCCAGTCAAAGTCACGTGATGTGTATACATTTTATAAACATGTCACTGACAACTCCCCAGTCAAAGTCACGTGATGTGTATACATTTTATAAACATGACACTGATAACTCTCCCAGTCAAAGTCACGTGATGTATATACATTGTATAAACATGACACTGATAACTCCCAGTCAAAGTCACGTGATGTGTATACATTGTATAAACATGACACTATAACTCTCCAGTCAAAGTCACGTGATGTGTATACATTGTATAAACATGTCACTGATAACTCCCCAGTCAAAGTAACATTGTATTAACATGGCAGTCTTCCCAAAAGTCACGTGATGTATATACATTGTATAAACATGACACTGATAACTCTCCAGTCAAAGTCACGTGATGTGTATACATTGTATAAACATGACACCTATAACTACCCATTCAAAGTCACGTGATGTGTATACATTGTATAAACATGACACCTATAACTACCCATTCAAAGTCACGTGATGTGTTTACATTGTATAAACATGACACCTATAACGCGATATGTATACATTGTATAAACATGACACCTATAACTCTCCAGTCAAACTCACGTGATGTGTATACATTGTATAAACATGACACTGATAACTCTCCAGTCAAAGTCAAGTGATGTGTATACATTGTATAAACATGTCACTGATAACTCCCCAGTCAAAGTCACGTGATGTATATACATTGTATAAATTCCCAGTCATAAACATGACACTGATAACTCTCCAGTCAAAGTCACGTGATGTATATACATTGTATAAAACATGTCACTGATAACTCCCCAGTCAAAGTCACGTGATGTATATGCATTGTATTAACATGGCACTGCTAACTTCCCAGTCAAAGTCACGTGTATAAACATGATATATATACATAATTGTATAAACATGACACCTATAACTCCCCAGTCAAAGTCACATGATGTATATACATTGTATTAACATGACACCGATAACTCCACAGTCAAAGTCACGTGATGTGTATACATTGTATAAACATGACACCTATAACTACCCATTCAAAGTCACGTGATGTGTATACATTGTATAAACATGACACTGATAACTCTCCAGTCAAAGTCACGTGATGTGTATACATTGTATAAACATGTCACTGATAACTCCCCTGTCAAAGTTACGCGATATGTATACATTGTATAAAATGGCACTGTAACTAGTCAAAATCACGTGATATATATACATTGTATAAACATGACACTGATAACTCCACAGTCAAAGTCACGTGATGTGTATACATTGTATAAACATGACAGCTATAACTACCCAGTCAAAGTCACGTGATGTGTATACATTGTATAAAACATGTCACTGATAACTCCCCAGTCAAAGTCACGTGATGTATATACATTGTATTCATGTGATATATATACACATTGCACACTGATAACTGTCAAAGTCACATGATGTATATACATTGTATAAAACATGTCACTGATAACTCGCCAGTCAAAGTCACGTGATGTGTATACATTGTATAAACATGACACTAATTACTCTCCAGTCAAAGTCACGTGATGTATATACATTGTATAAAACATGTCACTGATAACTCCCCAGTCAAAGTCACGTGATGTATATACATTGTATAAAAATCATGATATATATACATTGTATAACTGACCTGAGTCAAAGTCACGTGATGTGTATACAGTTCACGTATATATACATGTACACACTGATAACTCCCCAGTCAAAGTCACATGATGTATATACATTGTATAAACATGAACTGATAACTCCCCAGTCAAAGTCACGTGATATATAAACATGACACTGTATACATTGTATAAACATGACACTGATAACTCCCAGTCAAAGTCACGTGATGTGTATACATTGTATAAACATGACACTGATAACAAAGTCACGTGATGTATATACATATAAAACATGTCACATAACTCTCCAGTCAAAGTCACGTGATGTGTATACATTGTATAAACATGTCACTGATAACTCCCCTGTCAAAGTTACGCGATATGTATACATTGTATAAACATGACACCTATAACTCTCCAGTCAAACTCACGTGATGTGTATACATTGTATAAACATGTCACTGATAACTCCCCAGTCAAAGTCACGTGATGCGTATGCATTGTATTAACATGGCACTGCTAACTTCCCAGTCAAAATCACGTGATATATATACATTGTATAAACATGACACTGATAACTCCCAGTCAAAGTCACATATATATACATTGTATAAACATGACACCTATAACTCTCCAGACAAAGTGACATGATGTATATACATTGTATAAACATGTCACTGATAACTCCCAGTCAAAGTCACGTGATGTGTATACACATTGTCAAAGTCACGTGATGTGTATATTTTATAAACATGACACTGATAACTCCCCAGTCAAAGTCACATGATGTATATACATTGTATAAACATGACACTGATAACTCACGTGATATATATACATTGTATAAACCCAGTCAAAGTCACATGATGTGTATGATATACATTGTATAAACATGACACCTATAACTCCCAGTCAGTCAAAGTCATGGATGTGACACTGATAACTCCCCAGTCAAAGTCACGTGATGTGTATACATTGTATAAACATGACACTGATAACTCCCCAGTCAAAGTCACGTGATGTGTTATACATTGTATAAACATGACACTGATAACTCCCCAGTCAAAGTCACGTGATGTGTTTACATTGTATAAACATGACACATGTATAACTCCCCAGTCAAAGTCACGTGATGTGTATACATTTTATAAACATGTCACTGACAACTCCCCAGTCAAAGTCACGTGATGTGTATACATTTTATAAACATGTCACTGACAACTCCCCAGTCAAAGTCACGTGATGTATATACATTGTATAAAACATGTCACTGATAACTCCCTAGTCAAAGTCACGTGATGCGTATGCATTGTATTAACATGGCACTGCTAACTTCCCAGTCAAAGTCATGTGATATATATACAAATTGCATAAACATGACTGATATCTCGCCAGTCAAAGTCACATGATGTATATACATTGTATAAAACATGTCACTGATAACTCGCCAGTCAAAGTCATATGATACATTGTATAAACATGACACCTATAACTCCCCAGTCAAAGTCACGTGATGTGTATACATTGTATTAACATGACACTGATAACTCTCCAGTCAAAGTCACGTGATGTATATACATTGTAT